CCCCATTTAAAAGAACAACTAGCATATAGAAGATCTAGTTTTAGAACTCCACAAAATGGCAAGGGAGCTATTGGAATGCTCTCTGGGAAGGAAGGAGTGAGGACATGATCTATGCTCCTCTTCCAACTTAAAAGCACAGACTGGGGAACAGTCCTGGTGCCCTAACTGGCATACCACCTCAGTGACCCTCTAGCCCACACCAGCCCCCATGATCTCACCAGGGTAGCCATAGTGTGGTGCACACTCAGACACCCCTGGTTAGCATTCAGTTTATTTCCAACCTTTATATCTGACACAGGTAAGAAGTACCACAAAACATTCCTTGCCTGTACCCCTTTGGCTTCAGGCAGGTTACTAGAGCATCCTAGTACTAAATGGCCTTGTACATTCCAAGTTGATGTTTGCTTCAGATCCAACTACCCCACCAGGGTTCTCTCTATGTAGAACACCCCAAAATCACAGAACAATAGCTTCAGTTACCCAGCCAGGGCACCCACAAAACTGAACACCCTGGGAGACCCTGGTTTGAACCCAGTTCAGCTTCAGCTGTCTTGCCAGGACACATTTTCACAGAGAGCCCAGAGATCACAGTGGCCCATGCCCACTTTATATTTAGATGTCTTGTCAGGATGCCCCTAGCACAGAGTGCCTCATCACCCCCTGGTCTAGACCCCACCTTGGCTATAGCCATCCCTTTAGATTACCTTCTGTGTGGAGACTCTTCAAACACCCCAGTTTATACCCACTTCAGCTCCAGCTATTCTGCTCAGATGCCTTCTGTGTGTAGACCTCTGGGACACTTCAGCTTACACTCATTTCAGTTTCAGTTATCCTGCTAGGGCACTCTCTGCTTAGAGTGCCCAGGGACCTCCTGGCTGATGCACTACCTCAGTTCCAGCTACCCTACAGGGAGCATCCCTCCATAGAATGTTCTGGAGTCTCCTGCCTTGTACCTACCTCAGCTTCAGCTGTCCTGTCAGGGTGGGCTCTGCACATAGAAGCCCAGGACACCCAAGCCTGCATCCACTTAAGCTTTGGCTGTCCTACCATGATGTTTAGTTTACTAAAAGCCACAGGATCCTCCCACTTATACCCATGTTAGCTTCAGCTGTCCTGATAGGGTGCATTCTGTGTGGAGAGCCCCAGAACCTCCCAATCTGCAGACCATCCTAGCTTCAACTACTCTGCTAGAACATCCCTATCAGGGAGCATCCCAAAGATCCCCCAGTTTTCACTAAGTTCAGATTCAGCTATCCTGTCAGGGTACCCTCAGAATGAAGAACCACAGGACCTTCTAGACTTCACCCACTTTAAATGTCCTGTCAGAATGCCTTCTGCATGGAAAACACTGAGACTTCCCAACCTACTTGCTGCCTCAGCTCTGGCTGCTCTGCCAGGGCAATCTAATTATAGCCTCTGGATAACCCAGCTTATACCCACTTCAGCTTTAAATGTCCCATCAGGCCACCTAATGTGTGAAGAGCCCAGGGACCACATCAACCTATGATCATTTAAGTTTTAGCACTATTTCCAGGGTACCCACTGTGTGGATTAGCCACAGGATAACCAGCTCATGCCAGCCACAGCTCCAGCAAGCCAGCAAAATTTATCAAGCACACATCCTAGGGGATGACCATACAGAAAATCATTCATTCAAGCTTAGGAGAAGTAGCTGTTCCACCTAATCCATAGAAACAAACACAGAAAGTCAAGTAAAATGGAGAGACAAAAGAATACATACCAAAAAAGGGACAAAACCTCCATAAAACCTAAATGAAATAGAGATAAACAATATGCCTGGTGAAGAATTTGAATTAATGATTGTAATTTTGCTCACCAGGCTGGAGAAAAGACAGGAATTCAGTGAGATATTCAATAAAGAGATAGGGAATATATTGGTAGTGTTTCTATACATTAATAATAAAGAAGAAGAAAATGAATTTAAGAAAACATTTTTTTTACAATTGCACCAAAAGAAATAGAATACCTAGGAATAAACTTTATCAGGAAGGTGAAAGACTTGTATTCTTAAAACTATAAAACATTAATGAAAGGAACTGAAGACAGCACAACCAAATGAAAGATATTCAGTGCTTATGGATTGGAAGAATAATGTTAAAATGTCCATACACTACTTAAAGAAATCTACAGATTCTAAGTTATCCCTATTAAATACCAAGAGCAGTTTTCACAGAACTAGCTCAAGTAATACTAAAATTTGTATGGGAACACAAAAGACCTTAAATCACCAGAATAATTGTGGAGAAGTAGGACAAAGCTGAAGGTATCATAGTTCCAGGTTTCAAGATATACCACAAAACTGTAGTAATCAAAACAGTATGGTACTGGCACAAAAATAGAAAGATCAATATAACAGAATAGAGAGTCCATAAATAAACCCACACATATATGTTTAATTAATCTATGATAAAAGACATAAGATCAAACAATATGGAAAAGATACTCTCTTCAACAAATGGTGCTGGGGAGACTGGAGTGCTACATGCAAAATAATGAAACTGGAACACATTATAACACCATAGACCATAATCTCCAAATGGAATAAAGACCTAAATTTGGGACCTTACACCATGAAAATCTTAGAAAAGAAAACAAGTAGTGATTTAATTTGACATTAGCCATAGCAACATTTTTTTTTCTTTTTTTTAGGTGTGTCTCCTAAGGCAAGAGAAGCAAAAGCAAAAATAAAGTATAGAGACTACATGAAAATAAAAGTATTTTGTACTGTGGAGGAAACCATCAACAAAACAAAAAAAAGCAATCTACTGAGAGAAGATATTTGTGAATGATATATTCAGTAAAGAATTACTATCCAAAATATATCAAGAACATACACAACTCAAAAACAAACTACCTGATTAAAAGATGAGCAGAGGACCTGAATAGACATTTTTCTAAAGAATACCAATAGATGGCTAACAAAAACATGAAAAGATGCTCAATATTGCTAATTATCATGGAAATGCAGATGAAAACTACATGAAACATCACATTACATCTGTCAGAATGGCAAAAAAGAAAAAGCAAAAAACAAATAAGTGTTGGTGAGGATATAAAGAAAAAGGAATCCTCTTGTGCTATTGGTGGGAGTGTAAATGAGTACAACCACTGTAAAAAACATTATGGAGTTTCCTCAAAAAATTATGAATACAAATACCATGCAATCCAGTATTTCACTACTGTTTATGTACCCAACATGAGAACACTAATTCAAAAAGATCTATGTGCACCTATGTTTATTTCAGCATTATTTATAATAGCCAAGATATGGCAGCAACCTAAGTGTCCTTCAATAGGCAAATTGACACTGTAAAAAAGAATAAGATCTTGTGACTTGTAACATTGATGGACATAGATGGTATTGTGTTAAGTAAAGTAAAACTGAGAAAGATAGGTACCACATGATTTCACTCATATATGGACTCAAAAACAAAACAAATGCATAAACAAAAAGCAGAGTCAAGCCTATAAATACAGAAAACAAAATGATGGCTACCAGAGGTAAAAGGGGCAGTGGGCAAAAGGAATGAGGGAAGGTGGAAGTACAGAATTCCGGTTATGAAATAAATAAGTCATGAAATAAAATGCACCATATAAGGAATGTAATCAATTATGTTGTAATAGTATTGCATTGTGATAGTTGGTAACCATGCTTGTGGTGAACATAACATAAAGAGAAATTGAAGCACTATATTGTGCTTACACCTGAAAGTAATGCAACATTGTGTGTCAATTGCATTCAAATTTTAAAAAAGTGTTTAAAAATAAATTATATTTTATCCTAAGGACAATAAGCAGCAACTGAAATGTTAAATACATATATAGATATTTAACACTTAACATATTTAAATGGTACCATAATATTTTTATATTTAGCACGTACACATTACTATTTCCTGTTATGTTTGTGTCCCCCCCCCCGCAATTCATATGTTAAAATCATGTGTTGAAAACATCCCAAAGATGATTATATTTGAGCTAAGGCTTTGGGAGGGGCTTAGGTCATAAGGGTAGACCTCTCTGAATGGGGTAAATGCCTTTATAAAAGATGCTCCCGGGAGAGCTAGTTTCTTTCATCATACAAGATACAAGATGCTGGGTACGAACCAAGAGATGAGCCCTCATAATAATGTGATCAAGTTGGCATCTTGAGGTTGGACTTCCAGGCTCCAGAACTGTGGAAAATAAATTTGTTGTTTAAGCCCTTCAAAAAAACAAAGCAAAACAAAATGAAAAGAAACAAAGAAGTTGTTTAAATAGTGTTTAACACTATACTGTCTAACACTATACTGCAACAGCAGGAAATTACCACATAGAATTTTCCTATATTTACTGCATACTTTTCTCTAGTACACCAAATAAGAGTGCATCCTTATCTGTAACATGTTTATGAATTCACTGTATTTTGATGCTCATGCTTACTTCTTGCATAAATTTAGCTACTCTTTAAGATTGTCAATAAACTTACAAAAGAAAACATAAAGTTGATATTTTCACAAAAAGCTCAACATTAAAATTATGCCAGTGCTGTTATAGTCATCTTTTATAGAGCCTTTCTTTTCCATTATTCATGCTAATTGACAAGGAAAGTTAGAGAGAGGGAGAAAGATTGGTGATTCTGTATCTGCAGCAGTCCTAGGACAATAAAGTCTGGCTAGAAAAAACAAAGCAAGGGTTCTGAAGATTCATTAGCACCGTGTCTAGTCTCAGGTGTGTGATTGTCTGAAGCCTTTAAACGTAGGAGGAAGTAGAAGTAGAGAAGATATCTTTACTTTAGTGTCAATCATGACAAGTCCATTTGGAAACGCTGAAATAGCTAGAGAATTGAGTCCTAATAGCCAGTGATGGCTCTCATAAAATTCCTAGGAAGAATAATGTCTCTATAAAAGGTAAAACTATGAGTTAGCTGGGGGAACATAAATGGATCTACCACTGTAGACAAGGAACTGGCAACTTGAGCTTTTCAGGGACATTGGACATCATGGATTGGGCTCTTGTTTCTTCTGTAGCTCCAGTTCTGCAGCTTTTTGCACAGCTGCATCAACCAGCAGCTGGAAGCTACTGAAGTCCTTGTACTCCTCTGTTAACACAGGTTTGGGAGATGTCATAAGCAAGGATTCACTAGTGGAAAACTTGATCATTTTATTTGGCTGGGCCTTTGGGGTCAGCTTCTGGCCTGGGGACAACTCTGAATCTAGCAGCTTCTCCTCTGTCTTCTGGCCCACTGGAAGGAGGCTCAAGGGCAGGCACTGCATCTTGTCTGGACCTCTCGGCCCTGACCTGGACTGTGGAGATAAATCTGTGCTCTGCTCATGGGTCACATCAGCAGCCTTGCCTTTTTGGTGGTATATGATGGTCTGGTTGGGGTCATTTCCATCCTGTTGAAGCATTTCTGGAAGAACACGTCTGCGGGCATTGATAAACCAGTTAGAGATCTGCAGGAAAGACAAATTAGTCTGCTCAGACAGCATTCGCTTCTCTGCTTCTGAAGGGTAGGCCTTAAACCGGTGTTCATACAGCCAGTCTCGGAGGATCTTCACTGACTCAGTTGGCAAGTACCCTTTTCTCTTCCTCTTGCCCTCTAGTGAAGCAAGAACTTTATCTGCACCAGTGTCCCTATTCAATGTGACTGAGGTGCCTTCAGTCAGGCTTTGGTTATCTGCTGGGGTTTCTTCAGTGGCTTCCATACTCATGAGGCTGGTCTTCACTATTTTGGGAATTAGGAATGCCTGAGTTAGGACTAACGTGGATCTGGAAGAACCAGTGAGGAAGACATGGGCCGTTCTCTAAGGGGACGTCTCACCTTCTGCTTCCCAAGCAGATAAACAGTGTTAGTAACTGCTTTGAGCTAGTGGGCTTTGTGATGTCATATCCTTTCTGCCCTATATGCTGCCCCTCCCCCCCATTTCCTAGTTCTTCTTTTACCTGTTCTTTTTTCATAGATTCAAATGCATTTATTCTTATCTCATCAATTTAAAGCTCTCCAGATTTTTCTCTGCTGTTATCACTAGTTTCTGCTAATTAATGAGTTCTAATTCTATTGGTTAAATCTAGCTTATACATAGATACATAGGTTCCTCATTTTATTCCTTTTTGACTTTACTTTGATTATTGTTCTTCCTTCTTTTTCCTTATACTTGCATATTGGCTTATATACATATATCAAAAGTAACTTATCTATTAAAAATTAACCACAATAAAAGGAGAGTTTAAGTGGTATATTCTGACCCCTTCCTTCCATATTTAAAGCTGATTTAAGAGTAATTTTTACCTAGATAGATATATTTGACACCCTGTCCCTTCAATTTTTCTTTATGGCCTTGAAATGTTCAGCTTTGATATGACTTCACTATGCCATCAGGATCTTTATGTCTATACTTTGGGCTATGGCATCCAGTTTGATAATTCTCTTTGAAGCTTCAGTCAGAAGTTTTTAAAAACATGGAGCAAGATAGGACTCAAGAAAAAATGGTGATTACAGATTTAGATTATTTAAATCTCTATTGATAGTTTAAATATATAGAAATTACCTCTGAATCAGATGAAAATAATTTATAAATCATACATTTTAATTTCAGAGAGCTGAAGACAAGTGCTGGTTCTTTCAGAACACTATGATTCACTTAGAAGACAATCATAATCTTTGACTTTTTAAGGATACTCTGTGGTATTACTGATTGCTAATTTCAGAGGTTTCTCAAAAGAAAACTCCAGGTCATCATCTTAAGAATTACATATAATCTACAGTTTCTATTTGGTAAGGACAATATCACTTCACCCTTAAGAGTTCTTATTTGGTGTCACTGGGCTGGGCATCAGAATATTATCTACTAATCCTTTGGCTGTTAGTAATCTTACCAGTGCTGACTTTCATTGTTTAAAACTTATTGAAAGGGGAACCAATTGAAATACACAATCAAATCTAATAGTCATTTTAGCAAAGCTCCCAACAAACAGAGAATGCATATGTTGGCTAAATTGGAGGTCTTCATTGGAATACTCTGTGAGTGCTACTATTTCCATTGGTCTTTTGGGTTAATAGAATGTTTTCTATTCAGAATGAAAACTAATTTCCTATAGTTATTTCCTACCAATACATGCCCGGCCCATGCTCTCTGAAACTACTCTTGTCTGCCATTATGATTTCTAGTAACATATCCTCCATCACTTGTTGCTTGTATAATATCTTTGTATTTCTGTGATTCAGGTGTCTGCTGAAGGATTGACAGAATTGCACATATTTAAATCACTGATTTATTCTAAATGACAAGATCTACATTCCTGATTTTTAATAACTCCTTTATTAATCTCCTTGAAAAGGAATATCATGGTGGTTCAAAATTATCCCCCAGCAATTGGGAGATTTTTTTCCTTTAAAACTAGCTGTAGGTATATAGAAAAATCTGGAAAGTAAGGTGATAAAAATTAGTAAGAAACCCTTTAATAACAATCTAAAAAAACATGATTTTGTTTCATTATGTAACCATAGAAACACTGTATAGAATCTGGTTGCCTTTCTTTAAGTTTTTGAGGATGCAAAATATGAATTAAAAAGATATTTAAGACAGTGAGGTATTCTTTTCATCCAATTCTTTAAAATTTCTAAGGAGCTCAAATTATTTAAATGATTACTATGAGATTTTTTCTTCCTTCATTGGTTCCTCCAACATAAAATATCATGGGATCTTATTGAAAATAATGTTGTATATCTATAAGCAATGATTTATTTGCATATAACTCTGAAAAAGTGTCTTCTCATGATTGTATAATAAGTGAACATGGTATTATGCTGTAATATGCAGCTTAATTTTCAAATTATGTAAAGCACGGCAAGACTGAAGTCTTTTATACCTTGTTGCTTATCATTTCTGGTAATCTACTTATAATTCAATATCAGTTTGAGTGTTCTACTTTCCAAATTACGTTAGTCTATCTGTAGAGTTAAAAAAAGAATAGCTTAAATTTTTACTTCCAAGAAATGAAATAATGCAAAGGAAAATTGAGAAAAGCAACAAAAAGCCAAAAACTAAACCTAAAACAAACAAACAAACATTTCCTCAAACAAAACACAGTGATATAAAAGAAGCAAAAATTGATGCTGTGGTAATGGGACTTTGCCAAGTCTGAAAATAGAGTATGTTAAGTGCATAGACTTTATCATACTGTAAAGTATCTTGATAATATCTGCCAGATACTTTACACTTTGAAATGGATTGAAGGAATATTCAGGAAGCCATCAAAAAACTCCCCAAATAGGGCAGCTCTGGTGGCTTAGTGGTTTAGCTCCACCTTCAGCCCAGGGTGTGATCCTGGAGACCCTGGATTGAGTCCCACGTCAGGCTACCTGCATGGAGCCTGCTTCTACCTCTGCCTGTGTCTCTGCATCTCTCTCTCTCTCTCTCTCTCTCTCTCTCTCTCTCTCTCATGAATAATAACAAGAATCTTTAAAAAACCTCCCCAAATTGAAGGAGTGTTGACAAGTTAGGAAGAGAAAATGTAGAACGTTCTGGTAAATTCAACTAACGCTTTCTTAGCCTAACTCAGATTTGTAAGGAGATAAAATCACCAATACCCCAATTCATACTTAGTAGTAAAAATTACTCTTTTTATTTCATGAGCAAGGAAAAAGTATCTATTTTCACGACTGTATCATTGTTTAGACATTGAAGTCAATGGAATTAATAAAAAATTTGTAATATATGTAAGAAAAGGAAATAAAATAGAATGATTAGTTGATGGTATGATGAGCCATTTAGGAAATATTTAAAAATCGATTGAGAAACTATTACAAATAATAAGAGTTAGGTGATGTAGCCAGTTACAAAAAAACACATGATAAACTTTAACATACACCAATAATTATCATTTAGAAAATATATTGGGGAAATTATCTATTTCATAATCATAACAAGAATAAAGATATAAAATGTCTAGGAATAAAATTAGAAAGTATTATTCAGGGATCATACTGAAACAAAATTTAAATTCTATTTAAGAACATAAAATGAGATATTGATAAATTGCAAAATCATTTATTTCTTGGGTAGGAAATCTCAATATTGTAATTATGTCAATTTTCTTTAAATATTTCTTTGTGTCTTTTTTCAATCAAAATACAAGTACTATCAACCTCCTTTAACCACTTACCTTACAATACTTGTGGAAAAATAATTCTAAAATTAATATGGTGGGATAAATGTGTAATATATTGTGGCATTTTTTGGGAAATAATGAAATAATATGGAAACATTTCTCCAACTAGACAGTATACTATATTTTAAAATAGAAAGTAATTACAACAGTGTGATATACAGGCATAAACAGATCAATGAAACAAACAGAATATGGCAATAGGCTCAAGGACTTAATGGTAATGTGTATATAATTGGTATGGCTTTTCATATTATTGATGAGGATGCCTATTCATACTGAAAATAATGGGTGTTGCCAAAAATGTACCACAAACTTTGGATACTTTCTGCCAGATACTTTAGTTTTAAATAAATTGAAGAACCACACAAGGAGCCATCTTTAAAGTCATTATATTGATAGAGTGGTATGGGTAGAAAGTATGAAGAATCCTGGCAAATTAATTTAATACCCTTTAATTATGAGGAATTAAGGTGAGAGTGAGCAGACTGTAGAAGAAAGGAAAAGTTGGGATAAGCGACTGGCCTGTGAAAAAAGGAATAGTTTTGCTTTATCATTAAGTATGAAGTTGGGTATTAGGAATTTTATCTATTGTGCATGTGCATACACACACACATTTTCATGCACAATTGAGATAAAAGCATCACAAGTGTAAAGATTGTTGAATGTGAGTATATAAATATTAATTAGAAACTTTTGTATGAAAGATCCCAACCTGTAGCCAAACAAAAACTTTAAAAAGCATACATTTTTAAAAATGACAAATGGTAAAATATATATATTGACAATGTATATGGCAGGCAAGTTTTTAGTCTATTTATCATTTTCATGTCCCCTATAAATCAATACAGAGTAGGTCACTCAAATAGGAAAAGTGAACAAAGAATATGGGCAACTTAACAAAGAATAAATACAAATGGACAATAAATAAATTAAAATTTGATTAGCTTTCATAGTAACCAAAAGAAGCATATAAAACATTTGGTATAGTTTTCTCCTATCAAATTACCAAAGACCAAGTGGATTCTAAAGAACATATTTTTGAGAGCTATATGTTGTAATAAGTATATTGATATACTTCTGGTAGTAGTACAAAAGGGCAGCCTTTTTAGAGCTGTTTTTTTTAAAGATTTTATTTGTTCATTCATGAGAGACACACTGAGAGACAGAGACACAGGCAGAGAGAGATGCTTGCTCCCTCTGGGCACCCCCAAGTGGGGGTGCCCAACCACTGAGCCACCCAGGCATCCCTGTTTAACCCAGGATTATTCAAGAAATTGAACACAAGGAAAATATTTGATAATATTATAGAGATTAAATATACAAAACCGTTTTTAAGGAATTAAATATACTTGTAAAAAATTAAAAACAGATTTCCAGCATAATGGGATTGGTTAAATAAAGAGATACTTCTTTATAATTGATGAGAAGCTAGCAATTAATTTTGATGGCATAGACATACATCAAGGTGGGTGAGTGTGGAATATGAAAAGAACAATAAAAAATGGCATGCAAATTATCATTGTTTAGGAAAAAG